CTCCCCATTACCCGCACACGCTCGCCGCAGCTGTCGGCTTTCCCGCTCGCTGGCAACACACTTTTCTCTCGCTTCACCCTCTCCACCGCCCGCAACGCTCGACCGCACGTCGAGGGGAAGCACTCCTTCGGCTCGTTTATCTGCGATGAAACTTGCACGAAACCCAATCCGCCTCCCATGTCCGTGTTTCAAAGAAACGTTTACTCGAGTAGACGCTAAGTCGAGTTTCGCTTCGAATCGTTCTTCCAGCACCCGCGTCGATGCCCGTTTCAAGCGGGTCAACGCCGTGCGCACCGATGCTGTTTCGTTACAAATCATGAAGTATGTTTAAAAGTCGTTCACTCTTGGTTTGCCCCCCGGAGAATTGACGTGCACGAAGTAAACGTAACGTGCGTGGTTTAGTGAGAACTGCATTAGGGCTTTCTATGCTACCCAGAACCGCAATTTCGTTTCACGGTGTAAGAGAACTGTCTGAAATTAACTTTCTGGTGTAATAATACTCGTTTCATAGCATAAACGGTAGGCCTGTGATCACGGAGAAATATGTAAGCGTCGCTTCGTCTTCGTAGTTCCTATACAGCAGGTTGACCACGATTTCACCACCCGTGGTCACGTGCCACCACTGCAGAGATTGACTGCGTTAGCTCGGCGGAGTGACCTTATTTAACGCGGGGGAGATGTGCTGCGCCATGCCCCGTTTCTACCAATCGGCACGTGAGCGACCTGGAGTTGGGCGCGTTGCGTCGGAGCCAACCTCTCCTTCACTTTCACCACTTTCGTCCTGATGTAGACTTATTTGCACACGCCGTGGCCGCCAAGAAACTTCCGGTCCAGCGTCTTCAGCTGATTGTTTTCATTGTACGCTGATTGAAATAATCACAACCCTATGCGTGCGCCCGGCAGGGGAGGGGGGAGGTGTTTTAGGCGGCCGCCGGTCCCCTCCACTCACTTACAGGGGACGCCGATACGGCTTTATACCTTCGCTCAGTCTGTCCTTTGACTTCTAATGCGCAGTGTTATAGCTACGCATGCATTGTGACGCTAATGAGGACCAACTATACGCCTGATGTAGCATTCAAAAACTGTTTGCTTGTCACCTTTTCTATTTATTTATTTTGGCAATACATGATCATCGAGTTGCACGAGACCAAAGGCGATGTTATAAATCACCTGACAAGGCCTCTAGCCTCACGCTGTACATACGTGACACAGCGCAACTGCAGTTGAAAAAAAAACAAGAGAGAGAGAGAGAGAGGTCACAGTGACATTACGAGGCACTAGGATAAAAAGTATACAAAAATTCGAGGCTTGGAAATATGTACCATAACGTTTACGTATCGTTGCGACATTTACGTACAATTGCGTATCATTGCATAAAACTCCCAGTTCCGCATTAGGAACAATTAAAGCAGGATGTTATTTTCGTCAGTAAAATTATACCGAGGAGGAAGAAAAAACATACACAATATAAAGTTGCAGTTGTGTCTTTAGGATAACTTTAATGAGCATTTCGTTTCAAGAATGACCTACAAATGTAGAAACTAATTAATACTACTTCACTGGTCCTACGTTTGCATGGTATAAAGGTGGCTTTAGGGTCCGCTATACGGTGGCGTATTTGTTCCCGTGTTCGGATGCTCACCCAAATTACGTGTGCGTTCGATCCGGCCGCGGGGGTCTTCTCGTTTCTATGGAGGCGAAATGGTGGAGGCCCGTGTATACTGTGCCCAGTCAGTGCATGTTTAAGGAGTCGACATGGTCAAACGTTTGCGCAGCCGTTTGACCACCATAATTCATATGGTGGATTGAGGCGCAAAACCTATGAGATTATTATTATTATTATTATTATTATTATTATTATTATTATTATTATTATTATTATTATTATTATTATTATTATTATTATTATTATTATAGGCTCACCATCACTGGCTCTTTTGTTGATGCGCCAATGACGGCGAAATTTAACGACAATAGCATTTATACCGTTGATTATATCATCCCGAACTGACTCAATGTCTCACTTAGAGTCCCGTTTAGCGTTCTCACAACGGATCTTGGCAGCTGTTCTTTCTTTTAAAATAAAGTTTTCGACACTACCGGGCTGAGCCGGCGAGTGACGACCTTTCTCCTCGTATCGTCTCCGTTCCTTCTTCTCGACTGCTGCTCCGTCAGACGCCGCCGACTCGTTTGCCCGAAGTTGTGCGGGCACCGTTGCCCCAAGGGTTGCAAAACGCATGTGCACGCCTCTGACGCGCGCGGGGATTTAATTATAGCCGGGCGTAAATGTTCCGAAGGCGCTCTAAATATTGTTCATATTGAGTAGCGGCAGAAACAATGCTTACCCAATAACGAGCGAAAGCAGCGCTATAGTTTCCGTTCTTTCGCCGCATTGCTTGTTGCGCTTAATTATCTCTTTTAGTGGGTGCGCGGCTCAGTGTGCAGTTTCGCGCTGTTGCAACGTCTGCCGACGTCATTGGTCACGCGGACCCAAATCTCCTCAGTGAAGCGGGGGATACTGCGACCTCCCCAACTGGACCTGGTTGACCGGCGTCAACTCGTCGCTCGAGCCCGTTGGGCGGTCCAGTCCAGGGGGTTCCTTTAATGAGGCACCCTCCCACCTTCACTTAGAAGATTTACACGTCTTTTTTTCTCTCTTTCTGTCATTGTTTTGTTTACTTCGCCGTTCAAAGCATGGAAAGGCGCAAGAAAATGCGCTGAACTTGAAAGAAACACCACAAAGAAGAGACGCGAACAGATCGAGATCAAACTACCAACCTTTTTTATTCACCCGAGAGCGCCACTTAAATAGTCCACCCGAACATAACTGCGCAGACGTGCACTAACACAAGTGCTAACGCACCTTATCCACGAAAAAAAAAAAAAAATCCCACAAGGAAAGTTTTCTTACGGGCGAGCTGCTGTTCGGCACTTTCTTCTCTTTTGCCCCCCCCCCCCTTTTTTTTTCTCTCATGAAGTGTATTTTGCGCCACAGTCAAGTGTATTTAAGACATTTCCACGCCGTAAAGTGATATTCAGGCCTCACTTACACAGATTTAGTGTCTTTCTTTTTGATGATAAAAGCTTTCTAAACTTTCGAGGCACACGTGTTCTTGTTAAGTCCCTGTATCTTAATCTGCTCAAAAAACGCGTCTGCAGGCTGCCCAGTGAGCGGGCAAGTTAGCCATTCACGTGCCCGGTCGCTTACGTGGCGTCCTGCCTGTCGCGGGAAAGCGCAATCTCGATATTGGTTTGAGGTGCAGAAGTGTCTTCTCTTGAGAAGTAAAGGGTGCGTTAGCACGTGGTTTTTTTGCGCGCGTCTGCGCAGTTCTCTTCGGGTGCCCTAGTCAAGTGACACTCTGCGGTCAATAAAACAGTTGCTAGTTTGCGCTCGATCTGTTCGTCCGTCTTCTTTGTGGTGCCCCGGGCCTTTCAAGTTTAGCGCAATTATTTTCCCGCGTAAAATGAACCAGCCAGTTCCCCAAGACTTCTCGATGGACAACGGGAGATCCGGTAACGTTTATTACAGTCGATTAAGTCTGCTCAAGTGGGCTTTCGTCTGTCGCCGGCTTTTAAGAAAGGTTAAACGAGACAAGGTATTTCTGTTTATTTTGTACCCAGCCGAAAGCAACGCCGTCGGCCAAAACGGAGGTGCACCGTTTTTGTCTCAATGTACTCTTTAACGTGCACGTAAATTTGATTTCGGTGTACTGGTCTTAAGCACTTCTCACCTTCGACGAAAATGCGAGCGGCTGGGATTCGATGCCGCGAACTTCGGGTATGCAGTGGAGCACTGTGGCCACTACCGCGGCGGGCGGGCCTTGATAGCGCGGAGCGTCAATATTGAAAATCTGTTTTGCTGGCTTGGTTCACTCAGTATTGAAAATATGTTTTGCTGGCTTGGTTCATTCAGTATTGAAAATCTGTTTTGCTGGCTTGGTTCACTCAGTATTGAAAATATGTTTTGCTGGCTTGGTTCATTCAGTATTGAAAATCTGTTTTGCTGGCTTGGTTCACTCAGTATTGAAAAGTCTGTTTTGCTGGCTTGGTTCACTCGAGTATTGAAAATCTGTTTTGCTGGCTTGGTTATCTGCCTACAAGGGGAGGGGGAGAAGGCGAATCAAGTCTGTTGGTTAGAGGCCAAGCTATATTAGTTTGTTCTTTTTTTGAAGCCGCGCACGCGTCACGGATCTCGTTTCGCCACCTTCTTTCGCGGGCCAACGGCTGCGAGGCCGGCCGCGCGGACTTGACAGCTCGCCTTGACAATTTTTGTTTTCTCCGTGTACTTTGGTTTGACGAGGAAAAGTAGTTGGCGCTCAAGTTCTACTTCCGGCCCCGCTGCATGGTGCGGCTTCCAAGGTCTACTACCCTCGCACTCTAATTGGACTGCATGCAAACACCCCGCGACGGGGGAATAACGGATCGCCTGGCGCTTTCTGTCGCCGTTCGCACATTCGGTTCGGTTAGCCCGTGAAACTGCGACGTCATGCAGTAAATTATAAAAGGAATTCTGTGCTTCGACTGTGAACAAATTCGCTTCTTTTGTGGCAATGTCGAGGCCTTCACGACGCAAGGCCGGGCGCGGAATTGACACCCACAGGGCACAGCAGCTGCGGAGATTCGGGACGCAGCGAAATAAATGCTTCGTAATCACGAAGCATTTTCAAATCGGGGTCATTGCAGACGTGCCAACTTTTCAACGCCTATGTTTTCGCACTGTTCCCGTGGTTTTCCAGTAGCGCGCACTTTTTTAAACCTAACCTTCGTTGGTTGGTGCATCCGGTAAGTGTCCCTTGTGCACAAGGGGGCTGCTACGGCCCAACAACATGACTCCACTGTCCGTTAGTCTGCCTTATTCCAAGTTAATTATTGATATATAGTGTTACCTCTCAAGCAAAAAACCATGCATTGTAGCTTACTATAGTTCAATGTTTGTCCTCAACACTACTCTTTGTGGAAATCAAAGCCTAACCTTCTTTTGTCTGATTTTGTTTGTGCAGGGGACAGGACCAACTATGTCAACCTTCCACACGTTATTGCCATGGTGGGTCTTCCTGCCAGGGGCAAAACCTACATTGCCAAGAAGCTGACTCGCTACCTCAACTGGATTGGCATCCAGACCAGAGGTGAGCTCTCTTATTTGATCTCGCAGTTAAGAACCAGGCAATTGAAACTCTTAAGTGTGGGGCCTTTGAGCATTATGCCCTGAGAAGTGTTATGTTGCTGAAAGAGCTCATGCTATTCTTGGGGCCTATTTGCAGGCTTTACATGCACCTGTTTTAGTCTCTGTATGTGTGTGTGTGTTGCATCTGCGTATTGTTCATTTGATCACCTGTGTGCCGTAAGCAAAGCAGGTGGGCTTGTTGGCAGAAAACAAGCATACGCCAGTGTTGTTTTTTGCTCGTTTAGGTCTTTTTCTTTCTTTTTTTTCTCTCCATACTTCAAGAATTTCACTATCTTCTTTTTCTCGTTTCTCAAGTGTTCAATGTTGGCGAATATCGGCGTCAAGCTACGGAGGCCTATAAGAGCCATGACTTCTTCAGAGCAGATAATGCTGAAGCCATGGCCATCCGCAGGTACATTTCAACTCATCACTGTGTATTAATGTTCCAGTGTTATAACCTTTCTTACTAACTACAATTATATTTGGTTCTTATGCCTCTAAGTGGTCAAGTCAGTGGACTTCGTGCTAATTATTTCATTTATCTTCTCTGTGCCTTACGTCGTTCGGATAGGCTTATTCGTATCCTATTACTGTTTGGTTACTGTGTGAAATTTTATCCACTCACTTACTCGACTGATGGGTGCCAATACCTTTCCTCTCTTTTTTTTCTGTCATACTCCGCAAAGTGCCTGTGCATGTACAATTAATGATAATGATCTGGGTTACATTGCCCTCATATATAGTGCAGTGGTATTTGGGTACCAACTCAGTAGTATATACAGATCAGTGAGGCATAGAGCTAACAAATATGTTTCCTCCATGTGAATATGTTAGGATAAAGACAGTTCCTAAAAAAAATGTGCTTTGTTCGCCATTCAGCATGTTCTGCACATGCACACAATTTTTGAGTGAGCAATAGTATCGAGAGTAATAAAAATGGCGTCCCCGCTGTGGTGGTGTAGTGGATAAGGTTCTCGGCTGCTGACGCGTAGGTCGCGGGATCGAATCCCGGCTGCAGCGGCTGCATTTCCGATGGAGGCGGAAACGTTGTAGGCCCGTGTGCTCAGATTTGGATGCACGTGAAAGAACCCCAGGTGGTCCGGAGTCCTCCACTCCGGCGTCTCTCATAATCATATGGTGCTTTTGGGACGTTAAACCCCCACATATCAATAAATCATCAAAACACGACGGCGCGTTGATTGCAAAGCAATGAATCCGATAGCAATCAACACGACGGCGCGTTGATTGCAAAGCAATGAATGCGATAGCAACAAATTGTAATGTTATATACCAAGTACGGCTGGCAGCCAACTTTTCGATCCGATATCGCGGAAATCCTACTAAACGTTCGTGTAAGCAAATGCGGCCGCTGCAGACGAAGTGCTTTTTTCACACAATCTCTTCTTCGCGTCGGAAAGTGCACTGATGCTTGCCGAGATAGCAGGCGCGCCAGCGACCGCGCCCTTGGAAGCAAAGGTCACCGTTGTTACTCGAGCGACTCCCCTTCTTCCCGCGCCTTTTTTCATGCTTGGTCAAGACGGCTGGTTTCCTTCCCTTCGAGCATTTTACGGGCAGTTATACTAGGCGGGGAGATGTTATCGGATGCGCCAGGGGATAGAGATGGGCCGGCTGATTTGATCACTGCTTCCTTCAACAGCGCTCGTGCGCTCTTGTATACCCGCTCGTGAAAGTTGCACGGGGGCAATTTGTCTACTTGGACTTTTTACGGAACATGGCGGCGACGGCAAAAACCCGCTGAGGGTGGCCTTATAATTGCTATCACAATAATAATGCCGTTTTTTTTTTACCGCTAAGTAACTGCTTTGGGTTAGCTCTGCGTTCAGTTCTGGTTTTGTTAAAATGGTGCATTTATATTTTAAAATTTTAATACTACATATAACGAAATCCTCTTTATAACGAATTTTCCCGGGAATTGGTCAATTTCGTTATATTCAGGTTTAACTGTTTAGTCACAATGCAATCCCAACCCAAATATCACCTGAAACCTTCTGTTGACATATTCATACAGTCTTCAATATGTTTATCTTTCTATCCTAAGCATTCATACTTGCAGATAAGTAACTCGCAAGATTTTGCCTTCACAAGATATTGCTGCATATTGTAATATAGTAATGTATTCTGATGTGAGCAGCACTTCTACGCTTGCACAAAATTAGTTTCTTAGTTGCGTAGTTTTGCAGCTTCAGTTTTATATGCTGCTTCCTTTGTAATGTACAGCATTAGTACTTATTTCTGGGTGCGAAATAAATGCAAGCCCCCATTCCTTTTTTTTTCTCACTTCACCACTATGCAGCAAGTGCGCCTTGGATGCTCTCGAAGACATGTGCAAATGGTTGGAGTCGGAAGGCGAAGTGGCTGTGTACGATGCAACCAACACAACCTATGAAAGGCGCAAGCTCATCTACAACGTCGTCTGTGAGCGGTTTGGCTTCAAGCTGTTCTTTGTGGAGTCCTACTGCGACGACCCCAAGATTATCGAAGCTAACATTCGGGTGAGTTGTTCGCATCATTTTTATGAATAAAAACGTGTAGGCTGTACATCAAGTGATGTTGCACACGCGTTTCAGTACTGCTTGTGCTTGCATGCATTTAAAATTGTGCAATAAGTTTTGTAGAAGATTCAATACATGCACAGCAATTCCAATTTAGGTAGTTTGATTTGAACAGAAAATTCGTATATAGCAAAGAGAAAACTTACAAGGGTCCTCATGCATTTGCCCAAAACTACTCAGACAAAAGTCGTGTGCTTTTATTCTCTGTCAGTGTTCATCCTCTCCTACCCACCTTCAAAAGCTTTCTGCAACTAACATGGTTTCGCACTGCCTCAAAGACGATGCCATGTGGCAGCATCATCTTGCGAGTTGGTGTCACAATCGCAGTACCAAATTCGGCGGTCAGTGATGTCATCGTGACATAATAACATGACATTTTGCATCAGTTGCGACGATGCCACTGTAGCCGACAGTCAATTTTCTTATTTTATAAAGCATCTAAGACTTTTGTCTTAATAATAAAATTTCAAGTGAAACTTTTGTTACACCAATAAAATTGCCACCTTGCTTAATATAATGCAGGAAGTGAAGGTCAATAGCCCGGACTACAGGGACATGAATAAGGATGATGCTCTCCTCGATTTTGTGCACCGCATTGAACACTACAAGGCCTGCTACCAGACTCTCGATGAAGTGCAGGAAAAGCAGTACTCCTTCATGAAGATCTTCAACACGGGACAAAAGGTCGTCGTGCATAGACATGAAGGTGAAATTTTTTCTTAATTTCTTGTTGTCGCATTTTATAGAAGTCTAGTTATAATGCTTCTAAAAGAGTTAAAGAAGTGTCAGTTTTTACCACAATTTGTTTGGCAACTTGTGACCATACAAAATGTAACCTTTGTAATTTAGAAACTTTCTTGGTTGATGGGTAGTTCTTAAAATAGAAACAAACCAACAGAATAGAAGTGCCTCTGCAATTTCATGTCTAAAATGTTTTATGTTTAAAACAGTATAAAATATCTGGAAAGTGTAAAAGGATAGTTATGTTTGGGGCACACAAGGGATGGCCAGTCGATAGACGACACCCGACAAAAAGGGAAGTTAATGAAAAGAGGCTGCCCAGACGCGGACTAAGCCGTTCTCCTCGGAACGCGTTTTTGTCGTCGTACCCCGTGAGCCTTTGCTCACCGCACCTTATGCTGGGGAGTCACCCACACGACGGTAGCGCTCCCACGGTGAGCCAGACTGAGAAATAAGTGGTCGCTGTCGCGACACGGCTTCCGACAAGATAATGTGGTGCCATGCTGTAACAATACGTGTGGATATACGGCAGAATCGTGTCTACTAACGCCAGACAGCTGACCGGCCGTCTAAACAGGCTTGTTGTCGCACAAAAGTATCATTAAAGCTTTAGGTCGTTGAAATGATGGAGTTATTGTTAGCCGATGCTCGGAGGATAGCAAAAAGTGGAAAAGCAGAAGTGGAGACCAATCTCGGAGGAAAGGGCAGTTGTTTGCTTCATTGGTGGAGCATCGAGTAGGGGTTCGTCCCACAAGGCTGTCTCAGATGAGGCGGGAGGTATTTAATGAAGAAAAATGGAGAGAAGGGGAGCTTGATGCTCGAGAACGAGATCTGTAAGCGGGGACAGAGGTCGTGCTTAGCGCAAACTCTGATCTAAGGTTGACACTACGAGAAGTTGGTGTCGATGCGTAGTATACGAAGGGCTCGGCAAGTTACGCCGACGTTAATATTAATACAGGCCAGTGCTTACTGTGCGGTTGGTTTAGTGGCCATCCCGGCCTTTGTTTGTAAGTAAGTGTCAGTGTGTAAATAAACCGAAGTTTGCCAGGAAGTGAGCAAGCAGTCCAGTCCTTCAATGTGTCGTCGTGATCATCTGAACCATCGGGATTACATCCATCATCCCAATCTTAACTGATACTATATTGGTATTTGCATGAAGTACTTTGCCATATTTTTATATGGAGACAAGCTGTCTGTGTTATCGCCTAACTACTTTTTATCTATGTATGGAAATTTTTTTAATAATATTATTATGTGCACGTAATAGATTTATATATCAGGAATGGAAAAACTGCATAAGGATACTAAATTTTATGCCATCCACCCAACTATCGAAAAATATTTTATGCCCACTTCTCCTCTTAGTACTTTTCAAAGTTCATGGCAGCAAAGATACTGTTTGGAGTGCTTTCCTGCAACTAATTTGTTTGCACATCGAGAAAATTGTTCATGTCAGATTCCACTGAAAAGCTCAATGGCTGCAGCATCTTACTGTTAGGCATCACAAAACAGTGAATGTGATCCAAACTGCTTTGCCATGTTATTCATTGAGAACTGGATTGAGAAAAGTGTATGTATTTGAATTTTTCTGCTAATGAACAATCTCATGAGGTTAAATGACTGAGACTTAGTAGCCTTCTCATAGATTTGGTGTGTTTTGGTTGTAAAGGACATAACGATTATTGTTTCAAGAGAGAAATAACTGAGATGGACATTACTCTTGCTCATTTTTTAGAGAACTTAATCTCACATCTGAGCTTTTTTCTTGCTTCATTATTTTTCAGGGCACATCCAGAGTAGGGTGGTATATTACCTTATGAACATCCACATCATGCCAAGATCCATCTACTTGACCAGGGTAAATTTCTTTTGTATTCTATCTGATTTCCAAGCTTGCATGAAATTGCATCCTAACTTGTAAGCACTGAAATTTCAGCATGTCAGCACTCTATTTCAGCCTGCTGACTCTCAAAGGACACTGGGATCTTGTAAAAAAAAGATGTTGACTGCATTGCCTTTGTCCTTTATATGCTTTTCTGTATATTTTGTGTACATCATCAATAGCAATAAAATATTTTTTCAATAGCAATAAAATATTTTTTTGTTTACACGCAGCATGGTGAAAGTGTCCTGAACCTACAGGGAAGGATTGGTGGGGATGCTGATCTCTCCGAACGGGGACGGGAGGTGAGCGTTTGTTTTGGCCGGACTTCAAATTTGAATGTATACCTCTGGACTAGATGCGCTCTAAGTTGAGATTTGAACGCTTTTCTCCCATTACAATTTATGACCTCTGAATTTTAATACGTCCTTTATAATACTGTGTTTACTTCCCTAGCTGGCATATTTTTTTTAATGATATGTCATGGGGGTTTGAAAAAATTGGTCCCACGCCCTCAATTTTCAAACCTGTTTTTAGCTCATTCTTGTTCTACTTCATCTCAATGAGTAATGTTGAAACAAGCTGCAGTCTACCAAGTGTGCCCCTCTTGCAGCTTCTTAACATTGACTTGTTCGAAAATTCATACGGTAATATTTGTGCCGTCTGTGTTTAGCTAGAAATTTTCGAAAAATGAAACATGTTGCAGGAGCCTGCGTATTGACAGGTGTCTTCATTTTATTCGATGCAGTAACTGCCTACTAGAGTGGGTGTATGTGTATGCCTCATACCCTCTTCCAAACTAATGCACAGAAGTTTCGGCTTGGGGAGAACATGCAAAGCGTATGAAGCAAGGCAAAGAGTGCTTGTCAAAAAAGCTCCAGCAACATCTAGGCCCAAACAACGAAACTTTCCTTCCCTTTGACCGCGTCCTCTCCTTACGTGAGGCTTCCTTGCAACCAAGTACCGACGGAGGAAGCAAGCGTACTCTGAAAGCTCCCTTAACCCGTCCTCGCGGGAGGAATGGTTGCCGCGCTCCTGCGTTCGAGATTATCGAATATAAGCTTTGCTCGCAAGCGTTTATTCTGTGAAAAAAAGTTGGGCCACCACATCACTTCCAAATTGAAGTGTTAATATAGAGACGCGTGTACGCTTTCTTCCAACTACGATTACTGAATGTGAAAAGCCACTGTAGTCGAGCGCAAAACGTGGATCATTCTAGCAACACTGCGCGCCGTCGTGCCTGGCACCGTGCACGCACGCTCCCCGCTCGTGTCTCCCCGCAGAGGTGGGGTGGGAGGGTTGCCTCGAAAACGAAAACATCACGTGGGCTAGCTGTGAGGCGAAGCGCTCGTTCAGGGCAAGGAGCGGACCTAAGGGCGCACGAAGGTAGCCCCAAAGCAACCTTAAGCTGAGGAAGCGCCAAGGAAGCCTTTCCCCAAGGGCTCCTCAGTGAGGAAGCTTTCAGAGTGACATAAGGCGGCCTCACAAAAATGAAGGCTTCCTCACTGAGGAAAGGAACGTTTCGTTGTTTGGCCCCTAGTGTTGTAGAATTTTCTTCTTTCAGTTTCCTCCTTCCCCTGAAATTTTGCCTTATTTATATCTTGGAAAGCAATTCTTTACGCTACATGTACGTTCCTCCAATTTTTTCTATTTGTTCAGTATGCACTTGCATTGGCCAAGTTCATAAAAAAGCAGTCCATTCCACGCCTCCGCGTCTGGACCAGCCAACTGAAGCGGACCATACAGACTGCAGCAGGCATCGATGCCCCGCAAGAACGGTGGAAGGCTCTGAATGAAATTGATGCCGTAAGTTTTTGGGCACTCGCGAGGGTACATCTAAGGCAGTTAGATTACACTCTCGGTGCCATATTTCGGGTTTTCTACAGAAGTGCTTTAAGGCTTGAAGACGGTGGGACCAAACACGGCAGCAATCATAAAAATGCGCCCAAGCTTGATGGTGGTCCTGTCTGTGTCTGTTTTCTTGTCATGTGTTCCTTTTCTAAGTTATCGCCAGTGTTCATACCTTGGTGATAATTTGCTTGAACCATTAAGACTAATGACTGGACCAGAAAGCGCTTAAGCTCTAACATGAAATTATGAGGAAGTACACCTTCTCCCCCCTTTAGCAACATGAAATTAACAGCAATGTGAAAGGGCCTCCCAGAACCGCACCATAAATCAAGATGGCGGCGACGGGGTCTTCCCATCAGAAAAATCGTGCACACTGACTGCCTTGGAAGTGCTGTGGCTTGACAAAATTTATTGCAAGGGTTCACAATCATAACAAACAAAAAAAACAATGCGATAAGACTTTAAGTGTGGTTGGAAGAAGGGTTGCCATGTCTTGTTCCATAACGGATGCCAGTCTGTATAAAAACTTCATTCATTGAGAACGTATGAAATGTTTTTAAAAAGAGTAATGCCAAGCCCTTTGTTCATAGCAGCCAAACATGGAGTAGTGACAAGGGAAAAACTTCTCAAATTCATTCATTGTGAACACATATAAATTCCTGTTCTATATAAACTCTTGATGAGATTGAGCACATACTAAGCTGCATGTATCCACTGCTCGTTAATGCAGAGCGAAACTGGCTTCGAATACGTGTAGGGCACTTTTCATTATATATCAACTTGAACCTTTTTTGTTTTTTCAGGGAATATGTGAGGAAATGACGTACGAGGAGATTCAAGAGAAGTACCCGGAAGAGTTTGCTGCCAGAGATCAGGACAAGTTCCATTACCGGTACCCACGGGGAGAGGTGAGTTCCTTTGTGCCCATCTCACACAAATGACATGCAGGCGTGCTGAAAGTTGTTCTCAGGTTGTTCTCAGGATAATCTGGCCATGGTTGATACAAAGTATGGCTTGGATTGCCTTCATCAGTCATTGTTCATAATATGAAGTTGAGTCATTTTATAACATTTCAGTCAGGGCAGTGCGGCTGTGGCATCCTATTGCAATGACAATATGGACAATCCTGGCAACCCATTTTGCTGTTCAACGTTACTGTATGATAACCAGAACATGTTGACAATAGAAGTTTCAAAAAAAATAATGGCAGGTTTTTACACACTCTAAAAGGCCCGTGTTCCAAAATATGCTTCAGTTTCATCAAGCAAATGTAATTATCAAATGAAAATTGCCTTCTCTTTGCTTTTATGCAACGATTGTGTGTTGTTTTCTTTTCAAAATTTGAATGATAATAATTGTTTTTGCAAGTTTAAAATAACAGCCTTCTATCATCAGTAAATTGCTCATAAATTATACAGTGGTGTTTTCGTTCATCGACAATGTCTTCTTTCCAGTCTTACGAAGACCTGGTAGCTAGGTTGGAGCCAGTCATCATGGTTAGTGTTTTGTTTACTCCTCATATCTCATGCTCACTACAGTTTCCTTCCTTTGTTTCGTACATTGATAGCACGAATGATGTTTTTCCTTTCTTTCTTGCTAGGAATTGGAGCGGCAAGAGAATGTCCTTGTGGTTGCGCACCAAGCGGTCCTGCGTTGTCTCCTTGCCTATTTCCTTGACAAGAACTCTGGTGAGTAGACTTTTCTTTCTTCTTGAACTTCGCAGTTCTAAAAGACCACCTCACATTCACTTGCTGGTTAGAAATAGGTACATATGGCTTTCTGCCAAGTCGCTGCCTATGTTATCTTTTTTTTGCTTTTCAAGGAGGGTGCCAAGTAGAGCTTATTTATGTTCCACTTTGAAAATTGTGCATAAAAGTAACGAAAATGAATAGGCCATTTTTCATAACTTTCCACAGAGAAAGCTGTGGTTTCAAGCCAGAAACCCTTGTCAAGAACAGTTTGTATTTTTCAAAACTCATGTTTGAGCCTCAGTTTATTCAATTAGTACCTATCTATGCAATCATATCTGTAAAAGACTGGAGAACTTTGATTGCTTTTATTTGGCGACACATTTTCTTTTCTTCAAGATTTAATTTGTCGCATGTTAACTTAGCTTTTACCCTTTGGCAGCAGACAGGTTTGTGTAAAACTGATGTTGGATGGGACTTCGAGTGCACGTATAAGCAGTAATTTAAGACAGAAGGTAGGTAACACACTAGGTATTTCACATTACATCTCGTATCTTTTGATCATCCTTCCAAAGCCGTTCACAGCATCTGCTTAAGCTTCCTTGCGAAGCTGTAAGGGTCCTTTGATTCACGTATCGTTGCGATCAAGAAATGGGCTTTCGTTTAATTCGGGTTTCTTTGGGTTGCATCGTATTGCGTGTGTTGTACTCCGTAGAGATGTTGCATGACTGTCATTTGTTTCTGTGACAGTGTTTTGAAAGGCTTGTATCCAAGAAATGAAGGAAATGTGGGTGCTGTGTTGAAGGAGTGTGAGGGCACAGACCATGACGCCCTGTTGCCTTTCTCCCCTCCTGCTTCTCTCTCTGTCCTCCCCTTTTCTCGATATTTTTCTTCTTCGCCTCTCTACTCGTTCTTCCGGCGTGCAGAAGAGATGACCCACATTCACGTGCCTCTGCACACCATTCTACACTTGATGCTGACGGCACACGGCTGCCAGATATCAGAGTTGAAGACAAACGTGGACGCGGTGGACGACCACGAGCTTCTCTGAGCACCGCTGCAGTGTTTTTTTTTTTTTTTTCAACCTCTGCTCCCTTCTCCTCGGACATCTATGTTTTTTAACCAGTGCTTCCAATGTCTAGGGTTGCATGGGTTTGGCGCTGGTGATCCATATAGGCAGGCATGGTGTTGTGGAGTATAGAATAGCATTTGTGACAACTTTTGCCGGTTTGTGAGGATGCATGTTGTAAAGTAACTAGCAAGTGAAGGAAGGCTACAAAAAGTGTAAATGAACCAGGCACTAACTTTAATATATACTCTGTCTCAAAAGTTTCCCTCAGTACTATGGAGACTACAGGGCCCCTTAGCCAATAGGAAGGGCGATTATACCCTGTGCTTGTATCATCGGCATCGCGACGTTTGCTAAAGATCCCTATGGTCTCTGCACACTGACGTTCAATGAGCAAATGGCAGCACCGAAAAAAAAATAGAACATGGCTGCGCCCATCAACCCTAGTGGCATCCACTTAGTTTCATATCGTTGGGTGCTCTGTGGCTCGTAAGTTCTAGGCTGACACTTGTATTTGCTTTAGATTTAGCTATTGCAGCCCCAATGGCAATGTATTCACAACTATACTGGGCTATATTCCATGAACCGCTATCAAATTCTTCGGGATTAGGCTTAGCAGGCGTGGTTAAAGAAACAGCTTTTCTGGCCAATAACAAAAGAGCCTACTTGATTCTTTGTCTTGATCATGAGATGGCACAAAGTGATAGTTAATTGCACCCTTGGTTTGTTTCTGCGAGCGCACTGGGTGAGAATCAAGAGCAAGTTCGGATTGAAGTGGGCGATTCAGGCTGCATGGGCGCTGCCATGTTGATTTTTAACCACAGTTACCGGTGGTTACTGATACAATTGAAGAAATACGACGTAAATGCAATGAAAAATTAACATACAAGGTAGTTATTGATGTGTAGCAACAGATGCAACAAGGGCAAATGTCTGAATATTGCCAATCGCAAGGCCATTATATCTGGAACGACATTTTTCTCGACAAGCATGTGGCTTGCTTACACCCCGTAGCTTTGACAGTGCTGAACCGTCGTGGTGAGGCTTTGTATATGTTTTATGTTTGGAAGCACATGTGAACGGGTCTGATCACATTGGTATCGCACAAGTAGCAGTTGAATGAAGCATGCAAAAGATGTAAATGTGCAAAGCACTAACCTCAAACTAAGGGTCTAATAATATAATATAATGTAACTTAAATCTAATATAATATATAATGATAATATTGGTCCAATAACACCATTCACGCACAAGGAAATTGTTAAAATACAAGAACTTGTAACAACCGAAGTGCAACATGGCTTGAAAATAAGGCTTCATATCATTGATGTGCTTGTTTCTCTCTCATCAGTAAGTTACACTCATGTTTAGGCAGATAACTTTATTAAGCCTATCATGTGCTAGTTACTTTAAGTCATGCATCGTATGTGTGTCAGGATTATCATGTGCTAGTTACTTTAAGTCATGCATCGTATGTGTGTCAGGATTTTCGTTACACCAGTACAGTACGAATGCGTGTGACATTATATCAGCTCTTTAGTTTGTTGTGCTTGCACCAAAGTGCAAGCCATGAATCGTACTTTTATACAGGTGTGAAAAATTTGTAACCTTTTTCTGCTATGAGTACTACTTCATTTCAATTTTATGAATAAAAATTGGTGCCCATGGCTCAGGTATGCAATTTGTAACCTTTTATCAATCACTGCTAGAAGATTTTGAAAGTTGCCTATGTGTACCTATTAGTTTAAGAAATGAAATAGACAAGTTGGCTGTAGTGTTTCTGCGGAGGAAATAGAGAAAGTGTAGTTGTTGAACTGAAAGTGATGCACATGTTTAAACGATTGATGGAACCATCTTCACAACGAAAAATTTGGTCAAAGCTTCTGGACAAAGCATTAGTGAGTGTGGCTTAAAGCGTGAACAAATCATGTCAAATGGCGAGGGAATATTCTTGAAAATAAGGAAGTTTATCTCGTCAAGACTGTACGCTGTTACAAGTTGTAGACTTTATTTTTACTAAGAGCGTTCGTTGAAATGTACACATAGTCTACACTGCGATAAAACCTGCAAAAGACTTTCTTACTCTAGGTTACTGAAACATACGACTCAGACCATGGAGTGAATGGCTAGCACAGGACTTCCACTATAAGACTAGCTACCTAGTACAAAGAGACTTATCATTAACCTCCTTGAGTGGATGAACTCTAGAATCATTCCTTTAAAAGGCATCCGTGATGTGTTCATTTGGTTCAGTGGAACATTACAGCATGAATGTTCTTTCGGTGCTGAACTTATTGCCCTGTATAATAAAAGATTCACGGCACTCTTTTGTTCCTAGTTTAGTGACTACTGTCAGGTTACGGTAACCGCCACAGTTTTTATATGTGTGAACATAAGTTATGAAGGCCTTGATTTAAGTGTTATAAGTGCATAGCAATTAAGTTTTATTTCACATTAGCTTATTTTGCCTGAAGCAATCTCTAGCCATGCATCTGTGTTCACATTGTACATATTGCCGATCCGTAGCTTTAAGGTGTTGCTTCTTAGCGCTTGGGGAAAAATGTGCTATTGGGAATTATGCTGTTTTCCTAGGTTTAGCTTTTTTTTTGTTTTTAGGCTGAATTATTGTCCTGTTGTTTTGTTTTATTTTATTAATTTGCTTTTGCTATTTTACTATAGGAATTGCGGTGCAGTTTTGTCATTTGTCAAGTTTCATGCTTGTTGACTGCGTGAATCTGTTTCGTGTGGCTAATTATTTAACATGGCCACTTATAACTGAAGGCATGCTTAAAGTGTAGCCTACTTGAATAACCCATTTTCGAGAGTTTTTGTCAAGTTCATTTGATAAACTGGTTTGGGAACCTTTTTATTTTCAAGCTCAATAGTTAATTTGGAGTTTCATACTACATCTTTAGTCACATTGCTACTTTTCACACATATTAACATTGTCTGCGAAATCTTCGATGAAATTTTTTTCTCTTGGGTTTAGTGCTGGAACTTTGTGTGTCTCATGTTTACTCAACTTGAGCGATAAAACCTCGTTTGGACAGTCTTCCCCATGCAGTCATCCAGCTTTGCAAAGACAACTTATCAATGATGGTTTGGCTTATTGTGGACCTTGTTTTACTCTGAAGTATTCATCACACTAGCTGGTAAACAAGTCAAGTCCTTGTCAAAGGCCAGCCTTAATCAATTATATGTTGAAAAAAATTTGTCCACAACAATGAACATTTCATTCAAAGAGTCTTTATAGGGCATGATTTAATTGGAATTAAGAATGAATTTTAACATTTACTTTTATTTCCGAGTTTAGATCATCTAGTCTTGTGCCTCATCAGTCTAAGACTCATCGAATTTTCGTAATCGGGAAGGAGTTGTGAATATTATGACACTTTTCAAAGTACTCATTTCCGTATTCATGGGGACTTCAGTGCTGCTTATGAGATATAAAGTTATCTTGAAAATTTTCAAGCAATACTACAAAAGCGATAAGATTTTATCAGTTTCCCATGTGAAAACATGTATAAAGCATTCGAGTCACTGGCACATCGACACAACTTTTTAAATAACGGAACTGTGTGGGGAAGATGTTAAGTCTCAAGAAAAGGAATTTTTGTGACTAAATAATGTGTGTAGATTAGGGCACAACTGTACTTCTTGGTAAACTTATCGTTACTTCAATTTATATGTGCTCCTTATGCTCAACTAGTTGTTTCATATAGTTTCCAGTAAACATTGTTCTCACTTCCTGTTGTCATAATAATATTGTAAAGCTCAACATTTTACGAATACTTACGTTAGGCCCTTAGAAGGCTGAGGCTTTTGATTATACCTTAGACACTAGTCATATTTCATGTACACTTTTTTATTTCTTATTCAGTACCTCATGTTCTTGTGCAATACTTTTTCTTGTATACCTTGTTATAGTACACTGTCATTAATTGAAGTTTGAGAAACAATATTATAAAGCTAAGCATGGAAAAAAATGTTTCTGTCTGAAAGATTTGCTGCTGTAGATCTTTTCGACTTGGCATTTTGTAATAATCTAATCCTATCAATAAGTCCAAAAGTTATGTGAAGTTGTAAACTTCTGTTCCTGAATAAGTCCGAATATTTTGCAGTAGCCATGCAGAAAAATTGTTGCAGAAGCATTGTAGTTGGGATTTCACTGAAAAACAAATATTTTACTTGAAGTGTTGTGAGCTCTTAACACCTGAATAAATTCTCTTTTTTAAATGTTGTTGTCATTCATGGGGGGCACTGTCCTCCATTTGCTGACTTGCTATTCAACATACATTTAACCTACTCCCCCCCCCCCCTTTTAAGCAGTGGTATATGAACAGAAATCGAAGTGCATTGCATATTGTAATTTTTATTACTAGAATTTTTATTACACTTCAACTGCATGCCAACTGTATTGTAGTTGAACCAAAATGAAACTAGTGGTATTATCAGCACATTAATCAGTGCATTTATTATCACGCTATGGTATTATCAGCACATTTATTATCGGCACATTTAGTGTAAGGTCACTAAATGAACTGGGCATCTTAACGTACCGGCTAATGGGAACATGTGGCTGGACTACGGCCATCCTTTATTGCAAGTTGCTTAATTGATCAGGTCAGTTGATACTCATTGGACAGCTTAGGCCTAGAAACAATGGCCATCACTGCAGTTTGTGGCTTGCCTATTCCTTTTAATGCCATCTGCACTGCATTCAGAAAAAAGTTATCTTAATCTCATTTTAGTGATGCCGTGCCTGAAACTAAAATACCTTTGTGTTGTTGCAAATGTGTCCTCGTATATTTGTTTGGTGTTACTAGTAGGAAAGGACGTGCTAGGGCAGCATCATGTCGTAAAATATTTTTTTGTACCCGTTTTCATTAGACTGAGGTACAGCGTTTTGTGCATGTTGGCACAGTCTGCAAGCTTTCAGAACATTGATGGTCTTTTTTGTGGCAGTCAGTGTTTTGGAAACTCCCACAAGTAGCCATGCATGTCCAACACTGCTTGCCCAACACTGCTTTTGTGACATGGCTCGTTTTTTGTGTTTTGTCATGAGCACGTGCTGTAGGAAGTGCATTTGCCAAGGGCTGTCATTTTGCGCAAGCCCTCGCACGGCAACACTGATTTTTAGTTGGCAGATTTTACATGTGGAAGAATATGCTATAATATTGTATTATTTTGGTCTCTTGCGAGGAGTTTTAAAAAAAGAGTGAAAGTCTTGTGAAGTTAAAGCACCTCATCAATGTTTTTTTCTAAACTTAGGTTTGTGATTGCGAATGGCTGTGCACCGACTTGAGTCAGTGCAGTGCTTCGGAACTTTTACCTTCACCATAGCTAGGCAGTTTTTTTAAGTGCTTTCACTCCATAACTAATTGCAAGAGGGCCATTCATGTATTGAATTCCGGCTTTATTATGCTACTATAACTTTATGTTTGGTGCTCTATTCTAAATTAACTACATGGTAACATATCACATGAGCAATTACTACTAGTGTTAGATGCAGGCTTGCTTACACACAGAACAGGAATAAAGCAGTGATTAACCCCCTAGAATAATTTGGCTCCCTTAGTCTTAAAACAAAATTTTAATGTCACTTGCGGTATACCTTTCTCTGGACAATCATGACACCTGATGCCAAATTTGTGGTGTCAGTTAATGCGAAGGATCTTAGAACAAAAGTACCATGAGAAATAATTTTAAAGCTTCAACAACTTAAAGGTGTTTTATATCATAAAGGTCAGAATTTCACCTGTAGTTATCGTAATATAAAGTGACACTGTGCTCTGAGAATAAATGTAATAGCTTGCAGTTGAGAAGGACCAGCCGTACTCCAATTTCTTATGTAGGTACTTCGTGTTTGGGCGAGACTTCAGTATGTTATCAACTCTGCAGATAGGTATGGACCTAATGACTTCCTTTCAACTAACTTGAGCTACAGCTGTAAACTAGAAAGTTCTTGTGAAAAACTACTGCTGTGGGTACGGTTTACTGTTACAAATAACAGGCATGGCCATTACAACTGCCAGCAGCACTTGCTATTGAAAGCTTTCTCAGACATGTTGTTTTGTGTAGATAATCTTGTTAAACTTAAGTGAAGAATGTTTGTAAAAAGTCCATTACAATCAAAGACCATTGAAATATACAAGGCTCATTAGCTTTTCATGGAAGGAAGCCAATGAGCTGTTGTGGCCCTCAATCGTCTGCTTTTGATTGTTTAAAAAGTGCATTTCTGACAGGATAATTATTGGAAGTCAAGCACTTTATCTAAGACTACTAAGGTTCTTTTTCCACCCTTACATGTCTGTTTCAGAATAATTTGCCCCATGCCTTGGTTTAAACTTTTCTCAAAGTGTTCCTTCATTGAGCAAATGTATGCTTGTCTCCTTCGTGTTTATCTGCACGAGCTATACTTTTCATTAGGTGATGTTCTGTGATAAGAAATTGATTGATTGGATATGCCCGAACTTTTAACTTATCAATTTCAAATTTATAGTCCCATTTTGATGCTTGTTTTATAGAGCCCATGTTTTCTCGATAGCCAAAGAAAAAAAAAAGATAATCAGAGCAGGGGATATTGCCTGGAATGAGATTGTTGGGAATTCTGTGTTTTGTAGGGTTAAAGAAGTCAAGGCAGGTATTAATTTTACTAAAATTACTTCTTCATTTTTGAACAGTAGCTTGAAAGGAAGCTGTTGCATACTCACCATGTCAATTTTTCTGCTTAATATAAAATGCGTACAGGCTCATTTTAGGATGACTTAAAGCAATTTACCTTTAATTCAACTGGCACAGTGTGAAACAATACTTAAAAGAGAAACCTCCTTTTATTATTGCACACTTCAAGTTATTTTTTATGAAGAACTACATGCTAACTATAGAGTTTATCAAATTGTTGTCCACTTAGGTACTAACTTTCAGAACAATATTTTGAAAAACTTGCAAGTTCAGAGTGCGTGCTCGTTTTCAAGAAGACTTGCCTATTCTTGAAGCAGGGTTGTTCACCTAAACAACCATAGTGAGCTTGTTCTCCCTGTTGCACACGAATATTTGATCGAGACTGTGCAAAGGACTGACATTTGAAGAATGTGCAACGGGTGTTCTCTTGTACACTACCATCTGTACCATGCATGTTTCTCTTTACTCTGCCAGGCAATAAAGGGACACTAAGATGAAAGAGTGAACCGATTGATAAATTTTCCTCTAAAAATGCTGGTGTTGTGAACTTCACTTCCATATCATTTTTAAATTTCACACTGAAATTTGGGCACATGATGTCGCTCACTTAAAGCCCATTTTTCATATTTTGGCAACATTGGAGATACTAATTTTTCTAAAACTTTAGTATATAAAGTCTCTGGCCTTGTCAGAGGGCAATCACTTCATTTTTACCAATTGAAAATGACATAGGTCCTAGTAAACACCGCCCAAGTTCATGTCACAGCCATTTTTGTGGGAACTTCTAAGCAGCGTCACCACCCACATCTTTTTGCGCATTTTCTCTCGGTAAACATGGCGATTCTAGTATTGTGAAGGAATAATTGACTTAAGTGAGTAAAATCGGTCATCTGTTCAGAGTCCCTTTAATCACCGTGGAAAAGCATTAACATCTATTCTGAAGTTTGTTCCTTGCTACAGACTTCCCACTTGCCCCTAAGCTAGCCGTTTGCGTGCTTCCTCTTTTTTTTCATCCCTCTCTCTCCCTTCTCCCCTGGCGTTCCCTCATTGCTGCTGCCTCCTGATCATGGCCTGGCTGCTTCACAGAGGAACTCCCCTACCTGAGAGTGCCATTACACAGCATCATCAAGCTGACACCCATGGCATACGGCTGCGAGATGAAAAAGTTCAGCGTGCCTATAGCTGCAGTGGACACACACCGCGCCAAGCCCAGCGTAAGTACTGACAGCGCAAACACCGACACCGTTGACACCCTCGGCCTGCAGGAAATTGAGATCACCGAGGATCTGCTAGCGCAGCACGACACCTTTGTGCAGGGTTGAACGTCTCCCGTAACGACTGGTCTCTGCAGCCCAACTCACAGAAGCCAGATCAGCCCTTATTTGAATGCCATTGGTTTGTACTGCTCAGATCTCAACTGGTAGCTCTTAACTGGAGATCTGGAGCTGCTTTGTCTGTATTCTTGTGGGCATTAGACAGCTTAAAGTTATTGCAGGCAAGTTGCCAAAGAAGGCTAAATGTAAACTGTGCTCCACTTTGTTTTCATAAATTTTTGTCAAGATTAGCATTTCCTCAGTAATGTTGCTCTAATGGATTAATTAACAGAAGCAGCCTATCTATTCCCTCGAAGTCCTGAAAAAGAACGCGAAGTTGCACCGGCGACATCACAAAGTATGCAGCCATTTGTAATATCTCAATAAAGCCTAGTAGGTCAGAAAGCAAGAACACTACGAATGTGTCAATTCTATCTTGCGAGGTACCTTGAAAAGCTTAGTTCTGAACGTTGAACGTGTGGTGCTTCTATTCAAGTTTTATGCTGCTTTTTTGCATTTTGACTACTTTTTTAGCTGTCTTTTATTTCACCCTTGGGAGAGGGGAATGATAGATCTAATATCAACGGTAAGTTGAGGTTCTGTTGGGTTTGGTTTACAGCAGTTGGGCTGCAGAGACCAGGGAGACTTTGTATTTGTGTTTAGTTACTTTGGCAAGGCAAGGCCCACTAGTGGTCTTCAATTGCAGTTATTTTTCATTTTTGGGATGGCTAGGCAACTGGATGCTCTCGGCACCATATACATTGCCCATGGATTTGCTGTGAACCACCGTTAAACAGGGTATTATTGTTCACAAAGTCCCTTAGCTATTAGTTACATCGCATTTATTTAGCCAGCAGTGTATTGCTCGGGAACTGAACATGACAAACTCCCTTTCACGAACACCAGTTTTAAGAAAGTGGTTTATGGTGATTTGCCTTATTCATTCGTATCGCTTGTGTACTACGCAGATATACATGCCGCAATGCACGTAACGTACGGCACATCTGAAATCGGTGGCAGTGAACTCTTTGAGGTTATTTTGCCGCTGTTAGCATCATCCAAGGTTTTCGTGGTGAATTGTGCCACCTTGGCAAATTACTACAGATCATTGTGCAGGCAACCCAGTGCCACAAAAGCATGAATTTGTTTAAAGCCATTGCCTATGTACTTAGTGTAAAGGCAGGAATAGTCAAAACAGTATTTTTCTTTTGCTGAGACATGTGCATATATTGTGCAAATGTTATTTTTTGTCACGGAGGCTGCATAATCTGTCTTGGCAGAAAGAATACCTTGTGTGAATATTCCTGCATTCTTCGTGGATATTAACCTGTGTGTTCATTTTTATTCTGGGACGAGTTTTTTTTTAGCTGTTTATAGCATGTTTGCCTTGTTAGGTAACAATGTTAAAAGTCAGTTTAGGGCCTTGCCTTGTTGCTTACTACAATTTAGTTTTGCTACGTATGTTATGAAATAAAGAAGTGGTGAAAATATTTCTCTATAAAAACATGAAATTCTTTAAAAGAGATGTAGCGTGTAAACCACAGAGGATTAGGAGATCCCGAGTATGTTACGATTTTTCTCAGTTTTATAAGTATAATGGCAGGTTATATTCTGCTGCTCGATATATACTCCTAGGTGGTAGTTTTGTTGTACCTGACAAATTTCGCAGGCAGGCATGCCTGTCTGCGAAATGCCTAACCTGGCTGCCAGAGGCAAAAGGAAAGCATTTAGTTTACAATGTTTTCCTGATGTATTTTTCACTTGAACAAGAACTGAGGAACAAGAACTGAGGTTGTTCAGATACGGTCTCCCTGTGCAAAAATGCTAGCACGTACCTTTTTGCCGTATTGTCATCATTGAAAGTTTTAAAATAGCCTACAGCTCAAACTTCTACATTTTTGCTAAATGAACGAAGTGAACTGTGAGGTTCTATTATTAATTGACTAGTATGGCCCTATGCAGCTGACGAACAGTGATACCACAGAAATTGCTAAGGGAACGATTTTAGTTTGAATTTATGGTCTAGTGATTCTTATGGCATTTAAATTCATGCTTTTGATTGTTTTATTGAGGTGATTAGAGATTTAACGCTTTTCAGACTTTTGGGGTAGTGCAAGGGTTGGGCTAAATTCTCCAGGATTACTGCACACAGCTTGTTCCTAGCTATGTTTCTATAGCTAACATTCATGCAGTTCACATAGCTAATAAGGAAGTTCTTTGACAATGCCTTTAATATTGACAAGTGCAGGAATCGTTTGTAAGACAGGAAACAGAAGCTAGCTGACAGATAATATTATCACATTGCATTTTTCTTCATGACAGCAATTTTAGTCATCAGATATACTGGTATTAAGTCTAGTGACTCTGCTTGTCACCAGTATTAAAAAAAAAAGTGTTAACGTGCCAGATAAGTACGCTTATAATTTTTGCCTTTAATCTCCAAAGTGGTTCAATTCAACCATGTACACTTCCTCTATGCTTTCTTCGATGTCACTGTCTGTTGGTTTATGAGGTGTTTTAGTGACTATTGCTCTGGTTGATGTTTGAAGCATTGCAATCTTGTTTTGCGACACTTTGTTGTCACCTCTGGAGTGCTCACGAAGACTCTCTAAACACATTAATAAGTTGATCTACTTAGACCCACTTAGCTGGGAAGCACACTTTCAATTGTTGCATTGCTCTGTGAGCCTTAGCCCCATCTTAGCCCCAAAGTAGCCTGAACATGTTACTTGTTCCTACAGCTGCAAAGTGTTCTAGGAAAGTTTGGTATCTTACAAAAGATGTTTCCTGTTGTGGCACTTGGTAGTTCTGAGTGAGACACTCAAGCATTTACACTGGCTGAGATACTAATTAGCATGTAGACCGTCCCCCTGCAGCATTCATATATGTCCAGCTACATTTTTTTTTCAACCAAGTGTAATGTGAGCGAATGGGGCAATCGTACCTGTGAACATACCCATACTCAACTTTCGAGTGTTCACATTGCCGTATCTTTCAGTAGATAAGCCGTGCCGCTCGCCATTCTACAACTTTAAAAGCACCGATATATCCATATTACGTATTTGTTAGCCTGATGCACTTGCTAGGAGTGCATGCGAAGTCCTCCTAGCTTTAAAGAGGACACTGTGTAATATGGCTGCCTAGAATGTACAACTTTGATTGAGATCCAAGAAAAGCACTGTTCCTTCTAGGTGCATTGTAGCTTAGGTTGTTCCTAACTTTTTTACGTGACTGGTGACACCAGTTCCGAGAGTATCACGAGTCATTGCATGGAGGCTTCTTCCAAGCTTGCCAAGGTCGTAGTATCACTTAGATTTCAGCTCCATTGTCATTTCGGGCGGCTTATTTACAGGAATATACGGTAAGTATAATATCATAGTACTCTTACTTACGGGCATGTTCTTAGTTGTTTAGTTTCATTTTTTTTAATGTATATTTTATTAATTGTGCTATATTGTTTTTTGCCCTTCTTTGTTGCATTTACTTAGCATTGTAAGCATGTTTTGAAACTGCTTTTCTTTAACATAGTTGCTTGTATTTCATGATCGTATAACTTGCCCTTTTCATGCTTATGTAGAGTGTTCCTTTGCACATCTTATACAATTTAAAACAGCATTTATGCCTGAGGATCAGTGCGAGCATTCAAGTTCACTTCTTACTTTGACTTGATAAAAAAGAGCTCATCAAAAAACTTTCGAATAAAGAAGTACTGCCTTTACCCCGAATGCAGCAACAACCGTAAGGCAAATAAAGTTTTATTACTCGGCTCTACATTAGACAAACATCCGCTTAACCATTAACTACATTGTTGAAAAATACTCAGAAGATCATGGTTGTGCCATAAATTTGCATCAAAGCATCATTGTTGTCCAATGATGGCAGTACAGCAGCTCAGAATTTGTGCCATAACTGTTGCATGCAATATGATAATCAAAATGCATTGTTTTCATTATATGTGCAGTCAAGTGTGTATTATTGACAAGAACACAAAATAATTACCATTATATCAGGCCATCTGTGGTTAATCAGCCTGCCCGTCTTTGATGGCCCTCTGCAAGTAGTGTGTTTGCGTGGATTTCTGAGTATGTAAATTTCAGCAAACTTGGTGATCGGCATTAAGTTATACACAGCATTCCAATCATCCATATATAAGTGCATGAAATGTTGCCCTAATGTAAGGATTTTACATAAGAACAAACAATATTTGGGAGACAATTTTGTCCCATGTCGTCAAGTCATCGCTCAAATTTTGACTCAAACACATAACTCATCATATCATGCTTGAAGTCTCATGTCCTCAAATCTGGCTTTTGTACTTAACGGTTATTGCATGCCATGATTAAGCTTACTGCATGAATAACCTCCATTTCAGCTTTGCCATTTCCGTGTAACAAATGTGGTACAATTGTGCTGCGCATTCTGTAGTATTTCATAAATAAAAATCAACCTGGAAATGTTTTCGAAAAAAAAAATGTTATATAGAGGAGACAATTTGTCATTGAGTATGGTCAGTCGATAAAGGCAGGTAGCGGTTAAAATTCTTGAAATACTAGGAAACTCATAGAAGCATGTCTTAATGTAGGTATATTCTCTGGGATGTGGCATTTATTAGACCGCAAAGGAATGTTTATTCTCTTGAAATTTACTCCTTAATTTCCAAAGGAATATAGAACCTGAAGGCTCGTATAAAGTCATTTAGCTGTTTAAAGCATTGAGCTATAGAAAATCGCCATCATGATGTTTCTTGCAAAAGAACTGTTTAAGGCAATATACAAAAATTGTGAAAGTTCACTAACTATTATATAGATTTATTAAAATAATTGTTTCATTTGTCTTTGGGCATCCTTCAATCTGATAGTCCTTAAAAATGCATTATTTGTATCTTACAAGAGTGAAATTAGAAATCTAGTGTATCGAATGGCAAAGCTGATATGCATGTGCACTAAAAATGACTTGCTTCTGGTTTTCATTTCATGGTCAGTTTATTGCATTTTGTCAGCATGTTAGTAGAACTTGTATTTATAGGGTAAACTCAATGCAACTGCTTGTTGTAGCTGGGACAGTTACCCCATGCAGAGCCCCTAGGACACCTTCTTTCAGTGCTTGCATCAGTGGCCAGCATTGTAGAATGTCTTTCCATGATCCTCTTAAGCACTGACATTTGCGTTTGTGATACCAGGATTTTATGACCTTACTCAAAGTAGATGTTTTGTAGACATTCCTTGCCATTGTGAATGACTTGATGTGAGCCCTATTCCTTTCGATATCATTTATTGTTATGAAGGAAGCATGCAATGGAACATTGTACCCTTCTATTTTTGGCATTGTCTGTGTACCTTCCAGTTCTAGTGCAGTGCAATATTAGCCAATTGAACTGTATGCTCAATTCAATGTCAGTAGCTGCATTCCTGCAGTTACCTGCAGTTCTGTGATGCTAGCAACTCGTCAGTTTTGTTAATAAAAGGAAAATTTTGTTCATTGCTGCTTGCTGTATCCTATCATCATCGTCGTCATGATTACTTATTTTAACCTCATTAATTATTTTATTTCAGGCTATTTGGTACATACGTTGACTGTTACAGAGACGCGATCTGCCAAAATGCATCATGCCACCTATGCTTTCTTTTTTATTTGTCTATCAGGCTGCATGTTCACCTTAGCTTGAACCCCGTACATTAGACCCCACATTTAGGAGAAATGCCTCGGTGCAGCATATACAATTATGCAGCTTGCAGAAAAGGATTCTGGAGAATCTCGTAGATGTTTGAAAAGTTGGGGCTAACAGCATTAACACTACCAGTAGGGCACCGTTTGCGAACCAAGGAACCCTATAGTTTTGCCATTTGACAGTACGGTGCACTTCTGGGTGTGCAATTGTATACATTACATTGGTGTATCCGTAATCTGAAATCTGAATTAAGCTGCATAAAGCGCTGGGAGCACACTGTTCTGCTGCATATGTTGCTCTCATTATGGCATGCGAAATGTATTATTACACTGTGAAGGACACTCAGATTGGCACTGCGAATGGTCTTGGAAGGTGCATTTTGATCAATTATGTTTTTGAATTACGGTACAAGCATAGCCTATAGTACTCATTGGCCGCACCTGGTTGTTTTTTGGTCAATATGTATTATCAACAGCAAGCGTACCTTTCATCAGTTACAGCAAGGTGTGAATTATCCGGGTAGTCTACAGACACATACAATCTCATTTACTACATGCTAGAATAGCGCCTTTTGAGCACACTGAATAAGCAAAACTTGGACAAGTGGACACAGTCGGCCAGGAAATAACTAATGTTCGACTGTCTTGAAATGTGTTAGCTAGTGGCAGGCAGTAAATAACATGACGGAAAAGACTGGTATTCAATTTCGTACAATATTTTTCTAACGCATGGTGTATCCAGATTTTGTAAGAGAACTGAACAGGAGGTTAAGTTGGTTGCCGCATTTCAGGCTTATCGCTGACGGTCATGTGTTCAGCTTTGAGTGACATGACGCCTGTTGCGACATCTCACTGTTGTGATGACGCGTTCCATTTTCTTGGCTCAGCAAATTACTATACAGTGACAACAGTATCTCCGAAAGTGGTGAATTAAAAATGTTGGCCCTATAGGGTGTATGTATAATGGGACGGTCCTAGTGTGTAGCTGACACTTCGAAGTAACGCACTGTCGAACTCGGCTGGACAAAGTTATACATCATTGCAGTTTTACAGCGCTAACAGAATGGGCATAGTCGAACTAGCATATTACTGAAGGGAAGAAAAAGAAAATAAAGTGAGCACTGGAAAGTAGAGATTATTCTGGTGAGTTGACGTCCATTATATTGTACGAAAAGGCACTTGATTTTGGCATATCACGCACTACATCAGATGACTGGTTGTGTTCATATTTTTTTTTTTTTTTGAGATAGCCTGGCCTTTGCTCAGACTTCTTAATGGAAATTTGCAGAGGCAGAATAAGCTCGTGTTGTACGAGCATAGTGTCCTGCGTTTTATATATATATATATATATATATATATATATATATATATATATATATATATATATATATATATATATATATATATATATATATATATGAAGTTTGTGTTTGTTATAAATTGCGTAACAATGTGTACAGTCTCTCGCACAGTTATTTCAAGGATCCAATGGGTAATCCTAGCGGGCAGTAACGAAATGTTTTCTGCACTGACTCCTCTTATCAGAAAATTAACAGAACTTTTCAGAAAAAGTACTTGATGCTGCATGTTAAACATGAAAGTTGTATAATAAAAGCTAGGAATGAAAATGAAATTGTTCTACTCAAGTGCCACACCCTTTTTCCCCGCTATCAATAAAGGCCATAGCTATTTATTTTCGTGAGACTGGTGTGACGACTTTCTTATGTAGTGGCTTCGATCCTGCAACATTATGCCTAATCAATACTTACTCCAACTAACCAGTCGTTTCTCAAAGTTTTCTCTTAAACACAGCTTTTTTGGGGCAATGTTGTACGTAATTTACGATGAGAAACCGTCATTGCCGCCTGAACCGCTATGTCCTTTCCATGACACTTGGCTGACTGGTTGTACCAACCACCGAGTGGTCTTAATGCTGCTTTGTGAAACTTCAGGGACTGGAACTCGCGATGGAACTTATCAGCTACAACCATTGTGGTATCAAGGTCCTTTCCATATTTCTTTTTGCTTTTGGTCTTTACTACAAACTCCTTTCCTTTCTGTTCCTGTTCGAGTTTGTCACGCATGTCATGTCGATTGTGTTTCAATAAGTTTTGCAAAGGCATTGGAAACTAATCACCCCGACGTGTATATGTAAATAATTTGTGGACGCACATTTCTGTAATCTGTGTATCTGAGCTCAGTACCATTTCATCACTATGAACCCATAATTATCACAGTTTTGCAGTTATTCACGGGTACTGTAGCCTCCTCTGAACTCTGTCGATCCCACGTTTGCTGAAGCGGAACAGTCTAATGCAAGTTTTTTTTTTTTTTTATCTGCAAACTCCCGTCATGTGGTCGATTCTCGATTACGCTGGCAAGTAAACATCTTCAAGAAGAAAAAAAATTGTCTTTCAGATTCCAGGAACATTGGAGGACAAGTTCAAGTCTAAGAACGACGAGTGACCTCCCTGTTTACTGCATCTCAGACTTCCGTCCTCTCCTTTTCCAATGATCCCCGTGTCCAGATGGACAACATGTTCGGCCCGGCGTTACGTAGAGAACCTCTTGCCCACCCATACCAAGGCGATACAAATTCATCCTACGATGGACCCTCTTTTGTGCATATCTGATTGTTCCTGAAGACACCCCTATTGGTGAAAAGTCTTTGCACCTCGGTATCATTGTTGGAAGATGCACGGATGACAATTCGCTAGACTGAGTGAATCGATATGTGCTGGCATTGGCCTTTGCCCTACCGACGATGCACCGCAATCCTGTTTGTTGCTGTTGCTTTTGTTTTGTTTTGTCTCGTGAGGTGCGGCTGTGATTCTGTGGAATATGTGATAAGCGGGTCGCGGTGCGCAAGCTCGTTGTTGGCGTGCTTCGTTCAAGGCACTCTGGAGGTAGATTTGTGATATGACTTCGGGATCCCGTCCGGAATGGTTCCCGCGCGTGCGGTTTTAACACTTGTTATGTAGAGTTGGCGAGCCTGTGGAGTTTTGTGACAGTTGCGCGGAGGAAACGAAGGAACTAAGTGTTTTGTTTCAAGCAGCGTTCCATTATTGCAGAATACGATTTATGCCTCGTAGACGTACCTACCAGGGACATACGTGCCCAGGACTGGATATGTGTGAAAGAAAATGAACTCTTACTTATCCTGAAAACTCAAGCTCTATTTAAAATTTTCAGCTTGGAGCAGTTATGGCCAGCTATATATTTGTCCTTTAAATAGGAAAAGTCGTGTATCAACAAACCAGAAATTGGCATTTGCGGTGGAGTCTGTGTCCTGGGACCTTTGTCCCTGAGAGTACATAACAGCTGAATGAACACACCCTAGGAGCACTAGTAGACGAAGAACAAGGGCCGCATGTTGCATTTGATGCGCGTAACAAACACGACTGGTTGCAAATGACAAAGACATGGTTGCATAGAAAAAAAAATCTGGAGGCACCCTTTATTTTTGACTTAGGTGCTAGGTTGTGGCTATTGCACGGCGGCGTGCGTGTGCCATCGGGTATTCCTTGAATTCATTGCGTCTTAGCGCGCTTCCGGAAAAGATCTCTGAGGCCATGTACAAGGAAGTGCATGGTCGAGATGTGCTCCGCCAGGTGACACAACTATCCAACTGCTTACAATCTTTGAATGAGCTCGATCAAATGATCTTCAATAATCACCCTGGCAGTCAGTTGACCTTCATCTTAAGTAAAGTTCCGCTCCAACATCGTAGATATTCAACCATACTCTCAAATTGAACCAGAGCCGCCAATTTCTATTCTTAGGGAATTCTATGAATATGTGAAAAATCGGAAAGGAGGATATGCTTCTAAGAGATGTAATAGTGTCGCTCGGTGCTCGTGCCTCTGAAAAACGAAGTCTTCTATTATTGTCGCGTGACCTTAGCACGTTGCGACATCTTGCGATGCTGCATGGCGAGCAAAAGATGCCCGAACCCTTGCCGTGGTCGAGTCTCGGGGTTCCATTTACCTGCCTGCGTAATCTTGTCGCCAGGGGAACAATGATGGAAATTAATAAGAATACTTTATTGTTCTCGAACACAGATATGGAGTTTTCCATACTGCTTGATTAGCATCACAAAATGTCGTCGTCTCTGCCTCTGCAGATCGCTTGCCGTTCAAGCTATATATAATTCGTCTGCGCTGGGTTAAAACTGATTTTGCTGGCCTTTTAGATTCGGTCTCAAGCTCGCTCGGGTGCGTACACGTTGATGTTGGAGACCATTGCTATTGCGCCCAGTAAGACGGTCCAAACTTGTGTGTGATATTGACCACTGCGTGCATTTATATTCACTGGAGTGCAAACGAGACGGTTGACTTGATAACTTCAGAGGCATACGTTGTATTCTGCCCTTCCCAAGTTAAGCAGTTGCGCAGGTAATCTAGGAGATGCTGACAGGGTTGTGGGCATCGCGGAGGTTGTGCCAGTAATGCATGTGTACAGGTTCTTGTATATGGCTTGTATGTATAGGTTTCAGGTATAGCGCACGATCCATTCTGTTAATATTCCGCGTGTACTTACGCTTGTGAACCATGTTATATGAGGTATATGTGCTTTGCCTTGTTGGTGATATTTATGTGCAACTTCGCGAGGTGAACGTGCATGACGAAGTGCAATGCTGTAGAGCGCTGGCTGGCTTTACGGCTCGCTTCGCAGGCTGTTATCACGCTCAGCCTAGGAGAAGTGTTCATTGCATACTTTGGATGTTTACTTGTGCTTCTACTTGTTTACAAACCAAAAAGAAACTGCAGCTTTGCCGACACAATCGCGCAGCGTCGGCTCATCACGTGCGA